ACCAAAGTATACTTCAGTTTTGATGCAAATAGTTAGCATATGTGTACAGCCAGACATTTTGACTTTCCCAACATCCACACTTGCAGTCTTGGCTAAGAGGATTGCACACAACAAGTACAATGTAATACATGTACATAACTGCCCCGGTCTGACAATTATAAAAGGCACTATTTGCACCAGGCATTAAAATGTGTTTTCATCAGTCTGATCACAAGTGGATGATGCTAAATAAGTGTAAACAAGGCTAAAATGTTTAGAGCATGTCCACTTTCAACCAATTACAGGTAGCTGAAAAAGCATTTGGTTGAATTGCTTTCATAATGTAAATTCTCATGTGGCCAAATGAAACTGAACAGCCACAAAACACCAGCTACTCCTCATTGAGTGACCATGTGTTCATTTTCAGTTGTCTTAGTAAGAAAGAACACCAAAACAATGGGTCTTAGCTGATCACTAGTGATTAGATCACTGAAAATGGTCTTGTCTGTTACATAAATACTAAATAAGCAATTTAACAGTTAAGGTTATTTAAAATACGAACAACTGAAACATCTAAATGTGTAAATCTGTAGCATTTGCTTTTAAAAGACATTTCCAAATAGAACAAAAAATGTTTCAATATGTGTAAACTGTCTTTTTATAGATCAAAATATGCCTATTTTATGTTCCAGATTTTGCTTTTATCAGTCATCCATCAAGATGCATGAGCAACAACTTAATCGTGGCTGTCTTTGTAGTTGACATTACATACTTAATCAATTTGAGTATGACTTAATTAAGTCTCTGTCAGAATTTGCATCTGTTTTAGGGAGTTGTTCTAAAACATGTTCAACCAAATTTGAGCATTTCCATTTGTTTTTGCTCCAGGTTAACCCACAATTCATTATGAGGGGCATTAGCACAACAAACACTGCTGCTTTTCACATAACAATCATAATAGCTCATTAAAAATAAATTGATAAAGCCTGGGTAATTCATTGGTTGTGTTGGATTGCTTTCTCACTACAAGATTTTTTTTAATGGTAGCTAAGGCCACGTTAACCTCATTGACTTACAAATAAATTCTAAACACAATTGCAGTCCTCATGCCTACTTAAAGACTTGGGCTGATAGCCAGAAATATGACAAGTGCAAAGATTGCAAGTGTGGGTGCTGGGACACAGGAGCTTAACTCCTGTGTGCTAAAAAGAATCATACCTGTCCAATGTCTGTGCCATTTCTTTACAGAATAATTTATCAGTAAAGAAGTCTTAATCTGTGAATATTAAAGATTTTTATGCTAACAATCATCAATTACTATTAAGTACTTTGGTGTTGTTTTGTTTCTTTTTCGGACTGAAAAGCTGTCCAATTAAAAAAAAATCAAATAAAATATTAGGGGCATACAAGCTGAGTAACACATAATTACAAAAACTTGGCTGCATGCACACAGTATGCTCATACTGCTTGTTTGATGATATTTACAGCACATAACCAATCAAGTGAACAAGAACCTATTCATACTTTAGGCTTAAAGTCACCTTTTCAACTGTCTACAACCTCGTGTCACTTTGCCCCCCAGTGAAAGTTAAAATAAACTATGGATTTGTTTACTGAAGCTACTGTGTTTCTGTTCCAGCAGAAATATTTATGATGTTGTGATTAATGAATACCTTAAAGCATGGAAAAAAGAAATCTAAATTTGAAAAATAAAACCAGCATTGATAATTATATAAACGCTATTTGAGTAAAGCTGAATCCTCCTGGACTCAAGATTCACATTAGTAAATCATGCTAAATGTTGCGGCCTTTAGTGTCGTTGTTTGTGTGTACACTTCCCATGCCAATGATTAAATTGGTGCCGTGACCCGGATAGCAGTGAGGTCTATGCCGGTGAGTGTAACTGCAGATACATTTAAAATTTGACAGTGCTCTCATAGTTGCCATAATAATGATGACAGATCTGTTTTGTTTGTGTTGTCATGGGTTAAGTAAGATCAAAATGCAGTTTTGTTAAAATGCAATGTGTGGATTTTTGACAATTACCTGCAAATTTTCATATTTACAATTGACAACATGTAAATTTAGGCAAATGCTTTGGAACGCTCTATTTAAGGGATCTTCTCTGGAACTGAATCCATGGTTGCTGTGTTACTATAATGTATGTGTTTTACCAATCAGATGAAAGGGCTCAATGTCTTGCTTACAGTAAGGGCACTATTTTAGTAAACGCTCCCATATCGGTAACTTTTCAGAAAAATGACAAACTACCTAGATGACAGTTTAGATTGGAGGATATGATAATAATCTAACTAAAACAGACTTCGGTCATTATAACATTGCTCAAACAACGTATATTATTAACACAGTTTTGCAGGAATTGTAATCATCCACTAAAGAGTGCACCCATTTAAAAGCTTTTAGCTAATGTGATCCTAATGGAGACCCAATTTCTCACAGCACCAGAATTCACAGAGGATCAGACCCTCGCAAATGAACGCCTTTGGGTTCATAATCAAAGTCGTAGGCAGTGAAAAGGCAGCTTGAAAAGATAAAGAAAATTTGTCTAATTCTAATCAGGTCAGATTGTTTTACAGATGCAATTTTAGTGATGTGTCTTCATTGTACACATACCCAGGCTACACTTACACGACAACATTGTAGCCAAAAACTGAAAAGTTTTTTCTCATGCGTTTTGAAAAAGTTCAATGTTTTCAAAATGATCCACACTTAGACATATATTCACAAAAACACTGTATTGCACATACCAGGCTAGTATTTAGCATTGTCACCTTGTTAGTAAACACTGGCTATATGGAAGTGACGATGTGCTGTTGGTAGCTCATGTCTTTGCCATGTATTTAAGATGTGTCTCTACTTTTGGTTATAATGTGAAGTAAATGCACGCGTTGTTGATGAAGTGTTAGAAAACACTTGAGCAACAAAACCACATACTACTATTATTATGTATGTTTGTTTGTGCTTCACAGCCATTCGTAACTTTTTGATTTAGGGTGTTTTCACATCTGTGGTTCAGTTCATTTTGTTCTGGACCAAGGACAACAAATGATACATTGTAGCATTTTTCTGCCATTTTTAACACCAGACTAATTGCTTTTGTGCGAACCAGTTGAAAAAATAACAACAAAATGCAGTCATGTGACAAAATCTACACCCCTCATTGGCCAGATGTTGTTGAACGTATTTCCTAAAACTGCTTTTCGATTGGTCAGAATTAACTTGTGGGAAAACGCCAATGGAACTCCCACAAGTAAACATACCGGCAGACACAAAATGTAATTTTTAACTATAGGGGGACGACTGCGCTGACTGATTGTATCTCTGCTCATAGTATACCATATAGTTTGTATACATCACACTAGGCAAACTATACATTTCCAGAACCAAGTGGGGCTGGAAAACAATGTTTTAATGCATTGCAAATGGCGAAGCCACATCGCAAGTCACTTTAGGAGGAGGCGTGCATTAATTTAGCTAAACTGTGACATGCTCATCTTCTGAAAATATTACCATATCCATCAGGTAATGTTTTTCCCTATCTCTCTGTTTAAAATTTTGAGTAAAGCGCTTTCATCAACTATTTTTCCCCGACATCCCATAATGCACAGCGCATCTGACTACAGCAGCAGGATTAATCGAAAGAGGTGCAGTACTTTTTGCGCTTAGGTATGTTCTAGGGTTCGTTTAAAACCTTGAAGAGGTGGACTCGGTACGATTTTTTGTTCTGTTTTTGATGCACACTCAAGTGTGATTGATACATCCACAACTGCCCAAACAAACTGCACCAACTCAAGTGCGATTCAACCGAACCGAACCGAACCAAAGAAGGCAGGTGTGAAAACACCCTTAGTGGCTAATTCGTATGAACTCATTCGGACAATTCGTACAATTCGTAGGGTTTGCTAATCCCCCAATGACGGTTGGGTTTAAGGGTGAGGTTGGGTGCTACATCTTCTTTTTAAAAATGTAAAAATTTTTGTACGACTGAACTCGAACAAATTAGCACCTAAACTAATATAACGTAAAATAGTTAGGTTTCCTTGTGAGATCAGGCTGGATGTTTTCATGGACAAGACAATGGCGCCATTTTCAAAAAACCTTACTTTTTCAAATTTATGAGTTTTCGGTTCCAAAAATGTCAGTGAGGCAATGCATAAAAAGTTTCCTGTTTTTGGTCAAAATTGTTGTCGTGTAAATCCTCAGTTATGCAAGTGGATATTAGCTCCATAAACACAGCTACATGACAATATGTTGCATTTGTGTCTTAAGACCATCCACTGTAGCGGTTAGTTAGGCGTAATCAGTTTTGCTTTTTGGACTGAAATAAGACCGGTTTTCCTTTTATGTAGTTGAATTTTAAACAGTGAGATGACTAACTTGCAAGACTAGCCTAAACCATTTGTACCACATGTGTATTTACTTCATTAATTCAGCAACAACTCAAGACAGATCTTCTGTGCAAAGCCCAAAGCTCCAGTGTGACATACAAATACATCTAAATGCTTTCTGAGGCAAGTTCTGCTGAACACTGACTTTCCAAAACCCTACCCATCAGCTCTGTGTCCTTTGGTAAGACCTCTGTGAAGACGTGTGAAGTATTATGGATGTTATAATAATAAACTAAAACTATGGACTTTTACGTTTAACTGAAGTACAAATACAGTAGTTACATTGCTTGTTTTGTTGAATGCTAGATCACTTTATTTTAAAGTCTCTGATTGTTCATCTTTAAGTTATATTTACAACGCATGTCCTAACAAGAACAATGGACACAAAGGAACAAATTCAAGTGCTATTCATGTCATTAAGGTCGTAACCATGAGGACCTTGTTACAACTTGGTAATCGCTAAATCCAGTATAGCAGCTAGCCCCTGGTTTATGAAAGAACTGGTTTAATACCGCAGAGTAACGCTGAATTTGAGTTGAGGCAAAATATCAGTAGTGCTGTGCTAGCAAGACAACATTGTAAACAACAAAAAACTTAAAAATACACATTGTGTAAAACAAAACGAAGACATTCCCTTCTTTATGTTTAAGTGTCAGTCCGTCAGACGCGTAGGAACAATGACGATCTTAAATCGATGACGCTCTTGGTCAGCACTTTGAGACTGCTGTAACATACTTTTGTGGGGGGGCTCTTTTAAGTAGAGTTTATAAAATTCATCCTGGAAGTGAGCAGTTTTATCAGGTCACAGATGTTCCCCTCATCAATATACACCAACATTTCTTTTCTGGCTCTTGTTTTGTTCTTGTAAAATACTGATGGTATTGCCTTTAAAAAGACTATTCTGTGCTTTACATCAGGTAATAATAGGTCCATATTGTTGAGCTTGCTTAGTTGTGGGTTACAGGACAAAGCATTCAAACTGTTCAGAAAAATGTAGTAGTGGGTAATTACAGCCTGCCATTCCCTTTCGGGTCCTGCTGGATACATCCCTGCAACACAAAGTAAAAGAATGTTCAGCGGTACATCTGTGCTAAGCCACACTTCTGTCACTTAGCACGTCCAGATGCATGTAAACACATGGTCTTGTGTCCTTCTTTGACCCCGTATTTGCTCATTGACAGAGACGATAAAGTCTGAACAGATTGCTTTTTCATTACCGACGCCGAAGCAGATGTCAGATCTCCACATTTGGGTCTGTGAAGCCTTTTTTGCCTTCGTTCACCAGGACAGGTTTTTCCGTCCGCGTGTGCCACACAAGAATCTGTAACAAACAAAATAACCATTATGGTTTATGGAGTGGAGTGGGTGAAAAATTGTTTTTGAGATGAAGTGCTTCTCATAGCTGGGTCACTGAAATTAAGGTCATTTGTTTTCTTTTTTTATGTATAAAATAGAATCAAAATACACTGAAATTTATAAACCAACTATGATTGGTACAAGGAGACGAGGGCTCTCATCTGTTTTGTGTTTGAGTTTAGTTTGGTTGGACATTTTGGTCTGTTTTCGTTCCTATTTCCTGTTTGTAATAGATTCTGTAGTGACTCATTGTGAGCGTATTAATGGCTCAAACCTCCATTACAAGCTCTAACATTACATTTTGGATTACAACATTACATCAACAGAGGCTTGGAATGAGATATATATATATATATCTTAAAAAATGCCTAGTCAAATATTATTTACTATATAAAATAGATAAAAAAAGATAAAATAAATCAGCTATTAGAAATGAGTTATTAAAACTATTGTGTTTAGAAATGTGTTGAAAAAAATCTTCTCTCTGTTTAACAGAAATTGGGGAAAAAATAAACAGGGGGCCGAATAATTGTGACTTCAACTGTGCATATATAATTAAGATAGAATTAAGATTGTAATCTTTTACTTTTGAGAGTAACTTAGTCTAACACTTACACTTAACTATAATTTGTCTACACAGCAAACAGTATGGGCCCTATCATACACCCGGCGCATTGTAGCGCAAGGCGCAGCGCAATAGTCTTTTGCTAGTTTCAGCTTTGCGCAAGAGTCGTTTTGAGGCGTTGCGCTACGCTGTTTAAATAGCAAATGCATTAGCGCTCATATGTGCGCCCATAGGCGTTCTGGTCTAAAAAGGAAGGCGTTCTGAGGCGCACTGCTGGCGCGTTGCTATTTTGAGAAACTATTTTTCATTAGACCAAAACAAACCTGGTCTAAATTCCAGCGCAGAGTTGCGCCTCGCTTACGCACTGCTTAATACTCACAAGAGAGCAATAGGCAAATATCTTTACATATGAAAAAATTTAAATATTAAGGATATATATAGAATATAATAAGAATAGAATAGGATATAAATATAAAGGATTAAAATATTACAAAACATATTATTTTCTAGCCTACATAAATATGAAAAATCACTGCTTTTATGCCTTCTTTATCTCGGGAGGCTTTTTCAGTTTATTCATAACAATTTGCTTTTGTATAATGTTATTATTATTAGCAGTATTTTTTATTATATCCATATTTATATTTGTTTATATTTGTTTTTTTAATTATATCCATATTTATATTTGTTCTTGCATAAAGGTTTACCTATCCAAGAGCAAAAGTAAAAGTAGATAATTTATCTCTCATTCTCACGCAGTAGATTCTCTGTTTAACAGTTTTCTGTTAAAAAAACTGTTAACTGTTTGCTTGTGAAATGCTCAGTTTTTCCACTTAAACTTACTTTACGTCCTGTAAATAGCAAATGCGCTTATTGAGCGACGCAGCTGGCTCTTAAAGGAAATGGGAGATGAGAATATAATTGGTTTATTCTCAAGACCGTCAAAATAGAGCCCTATGCATCAATTTTTATTTTGGTTTTTGCTGTCCTTTTTTTTTACCCCCTTGTATCCAACAGGTGTCCTCAGTGTGCTAAATGTCTATTGCATCTGTCCAGTAAATCCAGCTCATGTAATCCATGCAATCAAACAGAAAAATTTAGCAATCACAGTCTGTTTAGTGGAATTAAAACAACACAAATAATTTTCCACAGCATTTCCTCAGAAACACAAGAGGTAATTTATTGCTATACTTTAATTTACTAGTTTGGCTTGCATAGTTCCATGCTATTTTTTTATCATTCCCTTCTATGGTACAATCAATTGTTTTCTATATTGTCATTATCTTAAAACAAAAGCTTTAAGCTTTTAAATGTGCAAACTCTTCATATTTTTTATGGATTCTGACTGGCTGTTAGTTTAAGAAAAATATTTCTTAAAGTCATTCCAATTATATCATTTCTGTACATCTTTATTGTTAGAACTGTTCTGACCTCTGCTGTTGTTTTACATTGTTAACTATTTTAAGAACATGTCTTTATTATTATGTTTATAGTCAATTTGTTTAGATTATTAGAATAATAATTACACTCTCAGCATAACCCACTCTCAGAAATAAAGGTACGCAAGCTGTCACTTGGGTGGCACCTTTTCAAAAGGTACACATTTGTACCTAAATAGTTCATATTGATACCTCAAGGGTACATACTAGTACCTAAAAAGTACAAAAGTGTTCCTCTTGAAAAAAATTTTGTACTTTTGAGGTACCAGTATGAACCCTTTAAGTACAAATGTGTACCTTTCAAAAAGGTACCACAATATGCAACGTTGAGTTAGAATTTATCATTTGCATGAATTTTTGATTTTAAAAACGTTCTGGCATAAGAAATTGTAGTGTCTGTACAGTTGTACCACTATTATTTTACTTGTGATTATTACACTACTGTACCTGAACACGGTTCGACTCCTCAGAAAACCATCAAACACGTTTATTCCAGTAGTATCTTTTTTATTTATTGTATTTCTCTATGCTTGCAGATTGTTTATTATGTTTTATGCAGATGATCACTCGAATACAGAACCATCCCAATCAATCTAAAAGTATTAATTCTTCCCAAATAGAGATATTCAAGTCATGTGTTGAAAATATATTCATATCGCACTATATATAGCAGAAAAACTAAATATTGCAACATGTCAGATTTGTTCAATATCATGCAGCTCTAATATAAATTCTAAATGAACACAGCAGATCACATTTTAAACTATATTAAAAAAATTGGAACATTTCTTTATTTAGAAATAGTTTTTCATTCACCCACCTGTTACATTTGTTCTTTTAGTTAAGTCTTGTTTCCGAAGAAGTTTTTGCTCTGTCGGCTTTTATATTTATCTGTAAGCTCCCTCTCGTTCCTCTCATATACTGTTAGCCTCCCTCCTACACAGTAGGACTCAGGAACACTCAGATATAAAGTTCCTCCTCAGCAGCAATGTACAATCCACAGTATATCTCCAAATTTAGCCTGGTGCAGAACATTTCCCTCGGTACAGATCTCAAGTGCTGAAATATACATCGGCTCCAGCTACAGTACATGTATGTGTCTAGATGTGCCTTTTGTTATGGCAGTGAGATAAAGAGACAGTGTGCAGTTTGTTTCACTTCACCCCTTTATGACATCAAGATGAAGTTATCAGTACAGAAAATAATCATCTGCCTCAATGAAAATTGTTGTTAATGTCCAGAGGAAGAAACAGAAGCTGACTGACTCATCTTTTCCATTTGCCTTGTTGCTGTCTTTCAGAAACCAGCATTGTTCTGCTCATTGCCTCTCATGAATCATTTATAATTGTGTGGAGATGGGTTCTGGAAGCCCAACTTCCACTTAGGCTGCTAGTTGCGTTTAAAAGTCCCACTTGGATTAATAGTCTGTCTGTTGAGTTTCAGTTGTGGAATGCAGTTCACGCTTTTCCACAAACAAGAAGAGATGTGCAGGTGTAGTTGTATGGATGTTTTTTTTTTTTTTTTGTTTTTTTTTCTTTCTTTGCGGTAAAAAGACACTGAGCATGTTTTAAGGATGCAGCTAACAATCAACTGCGCCAGTTAATCTATCCATTATTTTGTCAAATAGTTAACCAATCTGTTGATTATTTTATACTTAATTTGATGTTTTTTTTAAAGTAAGATGTTTATACCTTGGACCAACTTTTTATTATATAGTAGACTTGTATACAATTGCAGTCATTAACAGTTTTTTCTGAAAAAAAAAAAAAAAAACTTTAAATGTCCAAGTGTGTAAGTAAATATTGCAATAATTACAGCCATTCCCCTCACTGACCAGCAGAGGTCCCTATCACCGGCTTTCTAAAGACTCCATCACCCAGAATTTCCTGTATCTGGCGCTGATTACCCTGCACCTGATCCTCATCCACACGCGCACATATAAGCAGCTCTCACTAGCGTCTCATTGCAAAGTTTTGTTTTGCCCTGCATTCATTTCTGAGCGTTATTCCTTGCCTTCTGATTGTTCTCTCGTTGCCAACCTGGACTGTTTATTGACCCTGTCTCATTTCACCGCCTGCCCAGACCTTTGCCTGCTATTGTATTGATTCTCTGCTGCCAGCCCCGATCTCAGCTTGTACCTTAGTGATGGTGAAATGAAGTTTTCTGAACCAGTGAAGTGCTCGACTCAATTGTATTGAAAAAAGTTTTGTTACGCAAAGCTTTCCAAATCAGAGCTCGATAAGGACCTCTGCTGGTTAAAGTGTGGGAAAGCACTGTGCTGCAATAATGTCAAATGTTCACAACTGACTAACTTATTCATGTAGTAATACAGCAACAGTAATAAACAGATTTCCCACGCACTCATTTCAAGCGGGGATTGAACCAGCGATTCCTGCATTGGAGGCGAATTCTCTAAGGAGGAGGCTATGTGAATGATGCTTTCGGTAGCACTTGCCAGCTGGCCTCTATTAAACACTATACTATGTTATGCAGGGGTTTTCTTTAAGGATAGTTATAAAAAAATATGCTAATACACTTTAGTATGGTTCAAAACATTTTTACTATAAATTACTGTTGTATTTTAGTTTAATTACTGGTGTGTGGGACCGGTGCAGTGCTTTGAAACAGTAGAAATGTATGTATTCGTTGCCTAATCTCTCACCATACACTTTACTAACCCATGAGAGTGTTTAAACCTTTGAACCAAAATTCTAAGCAGTCACGTGGGTATAGGCAAAAAGGAAGCTTCGGAAGTCACTGATCACGTGATGATGGCAAAACGAATCAAGCTCCGGTACACTGCTTCACTGCGAGATGTGTCGTTTTTTTAAAACATGCTTCGAAGCCTCGTCGCACAGCACCACGTGACTACTGTATCCTGATGCTAAACGTTATCTGCCTGTCTTAGACTTTGTCTATACTTCCTATGCACTTGAATATTACAGTTTTTGCCAAAACTCTGTTTTTTATCAGTTGTTTAATAAACGCACTGCATATGTATCCTCTTTGTCAGAACATTCGTTACAGTAACAAATGTGACGCACAGCTCTAGTATGGTTTACATGCAAACCAAGGAGCCTGCAATGTAATTACACAACAGTAATAAATGAGCATATTGAATAAAAATTTACTCAACCTCAAGTTTTTTTTTCCAAAGGATGTAATTTTGAAAATGCCGAAAACCACTGAGCCATAGTTGGAAAAACAAGTACCATGTAAGTCAATGGTTACAGGTTTTCAGCTTTCTTTAAAATATCTTTCTTTGTGCTCAAAACAAGAAATACATTCAGACAATTGTGGAACAAGTGAAGAGTGAGTAAATGATGAGAGAATTATTATTTCTGGGGAAACTATCCCTTTATTTCCTGGTAAAATATTTAATTTGTTATGTCATAATCAATAAAAAAAAACTGAATTTTATACGCCACTTCAATAAGAAATCAGATTTCATCATGACAATTCGTAGTGTTGTCAAAAATATTGATGTTTTATTTTGCTGTGGTTAGCTTATCTGTAGTGTGGTTTTGCTAAATCCTTTTTGTTTTAATCAGAAAATAAGAAGACTACATAAGATTGCACTGATTTGACATGTTTACTAATTTTTTCACTAGCTATATTGGTGTATTTGTACTTAAAGCCTGACATAGGCCTAGTATATTATATAACTTAATTTATTATTATTTTTTTTTGCAATTTGAATGTTACAAGCACTAAGATTTTTTCAAACAAGTGCAATACCACAAGATGTTTTGTTGATGTAAAATATACCTCATTCATATGGAAAAATGCAAAGGGAGGCTTCGAAGCATGTTTAAAAAAAACGACAGCAGCATACAGCAGATCTAACAATCAACATCAACATTACCATATGACATCTCACCACAGAGTAGTGAGGTTCCTCGCAGTATGGAAAATGGTATTGAATATCACTATTTTTCAAGGTATCATACCAGAGTTAGAAATTCCAGAATTAGAAATTCAAGTATAGTGACTACACTACTCTGTGGTGAGATGTCATATGGTAATGTTGATGTTGATTGATAGATCTGCTGTATGCTGCTGCTGCTTTGATTGTTGGTGCAGAGAAAGTACCAAGACTACTGCTGGCAGATTATTTAATGCTGCTGCAAACATGACATTCATGTAACTCCCAACAGATCTACGCACAGGTAGACCTACGGTGGAGGAGTGTGTCCGAAAATGCCCTGCAGATTACTAATGGAAGCAACATTGAGGTGTTTAAATGTTTTGGAACAAGCTCATTGGCTGCTAAAGCAGCCAATCGTCTGCAACATGTAGTTAAAACAGATGATATAGGACTCATCAGCCTGTATGCCCAGTAGTTTCAAGACAGATCTTTCTATTTGATGTGTTTACATGTGGTGAGAAATTGGCGAAAATCTAGTTGTGGCGATCAGTTTATGCGCAAGTTGTTTACTCCAAATGGGTATATAGTGGTTAATATAGCCACATGCATCGCTGGTTCATTAATCATAATCGAGGAATTGGATTTGTTTGGTCTTTAAATCTTTGTTTTGTCTTAAGTGAGGTCCTTGAGCTCAATAATGCCATTTAAAACATTAATTAGTGAGTCCCTTCACAAATCATTAATTAAAACACCAATTAGTCAGTTCATTCACAAATCATCAATTAAAACATCTAATAGCCAGATCTACAAACAATAGCTGGGAAAGAGACTGTCATTAAATAGTGAGAGAATAGTAGAGCCTTTTTAACAGTTGTTCTTGTATTTATTTATTTTAATATATAGATTGAGAAATCTATTTATTGTATTTCTCTATTTGGCCGTTTAAAGAAACTTCTCACAGTCAGCTGCTGTGACATTTTTGCAACTGTACGCAGCAGTGACAAAGAGGAGACAAAACAAGTATAATCGCCATCAGCTGGACAAGAGTGGAAATTACAATAAGCTACAAATTACAAAAGATCACCCTCAGCATAATCCGTCAAAATGACAGATTACCTTCAGATTTTTCCGTCACTGCTGAATATTCGGTTAACGCGACCTTTTATATATATATATATATATATATATATATATATATATATATATATATATATATATATATATATATATATATATATATACCTGGGCGGCACGTCCAAGTAAAGTCTGTTTAAACCTTGCATAATTTAATCATTTTTTGTTGAGGAATAGGACACCTTGGAATATGGTGCTGACCGATCAGAGTCAAGCATTCCAGAGAGCCTTGCGAGAAGCAAAGTTTCCTTACCTTAGTGCAGTTGGCGGCTTTGGGTTCCAGGTCATTGAGTGTGACCAGCTCTCTGAGCAGGCTGCTCTCCTGGTAGCCTCCCTTAACCCCTCGTAACTTGAAATAGGCCTGAGGCTTAAACAGAATAAGCCTCAGGTTGATGGCAAACCCTGCCATATCGATGGCAAAGGGACGGTGAGGGTCGAATACTGTTTTCCAGCCGTATACTTTTCCTGCTGCATTGACCTTTGGGGACTCGTACCGCAAACCTCCAACAAACGCAACTGGCCACACCGATACTTTACGAGTGGACCGCATCTGCAGAAAAAAGAAAAGGTATTTTTATTATTATCTATTTTTAACAGTTTCTTTTTCGTTATTGGGGAAGTTGCAAAGATACACAGTTAGTGACAAAAGTGTCCTTGTTTGATCCACGTTTCAATTATTAAGGCACATGGATCAAAGATGCCAAAAATGTGTCTGCAAACTCCGGTTATCAACACTGATTCTGTTAAAAGTACCATTTAGTGCATTAATCCAAGTTAAAATGTTCTCTGACTTCTACTGTACATACCAGGCATGTAGAATAGGTAAGTTGTTGTTGTGGTTGAAACATATGCTTAATTATACACTGAACTATAATGACATAATGCCGAAAGGGAATGGCTTAGATATATTTAAAGCTTTGACATGAAAACACACCCAGTAATTGATGTCAACTTCTGCACAAACAGATGTGTTTCATAAAGTGTATAAAATATAAAACAGTCAGACAGTATCTGAGTGATATGACACAGTGCATAAAACCCTTAAGCAGTCTACATGTTTGTTGTCACATTCCGAACAAAAGTTTTACAATAATTGTCAAAATTTGACAATATGCATGACAAATCAATAAACTATTCAATTAAAAAGACCTTATGTTTCTTCGAGGTGGCACTGAATACAATTTTAATCCGTATATCCTGCATTTTGTGAGTACTTGGCTGCTCATGCAGGTCTAGATTGAGAGTGTGATCTAAAGCAGTGGTTTCCAAAGTGGGGGTTGGAGGATAATGAGCAGGGGTTGCTTGGTGATTTCCAAAATTCAAATTCATTTTATGAAACTATTATAATGAGCATACTATATATGTCCATATACTACAAAAGATAAAAATAGTATTTAATAGTTATAAAAAATTTTCCCAATTGTTTGCAACACCTGGAGTCTCGTAACGTTAGATTAAAGATACAGCAATAGGGTCAGATGCAGCAGACGATTTCATGGCACCAAGGTAAACTTTCTGACGTCTTTACGGTACTCGCATAAATTTATATACAGGCCATGATTGAACATGGAGGATGATCTCCAAGTGATGTTCTCAAAAATTAAACAAATATTAGACTTGGGCTTATTGATGTGTGTGAGCCATGTTTGCATATATTTTACCACCTAAGAGGATATTGGGGGTCGCGACTCACTTTCGTTATTATTTTGGGGGTTGCGGGCTGAAAAGTTTGGGAACCCCCAACCTAAAGTACATACAAATATTGAGGACATGTTTATTAATACACATGCAACATAACAGTTTGTGTTTTGTTGTGATAGCTGTGTTTTTACCAGGGTGTTACACTCACTAGATTTATGTGAGAATAGATGGTGTTTGAGTGTATTTCCATATACTGAACTCAGCTATGGAGAGGTATACCCAGATTTTTATTATATGGCACCTTTACTATTTAAAAGGTAGGCTCTAAGTACAGTAGGCCTGCTGCAGTAGTTGTTATTAGCACTTGGCCACAAACTGACTGCATTACCTGCCTACCACTGCACATTTCAACAGATCTGATGTTACACTTTGTGTTTACCGATAAATTATTAAAAAGTTCAGGCAGTCTCCTTGCTGTTTTTCCAACACACACACAAACTCCCTTTAGTGTTGAGAAATGTTACTATGTTATTATTTCTCACCCCTTGCACTCAAACCATTTTGTCCCAGCAGCATATCATTAATTAAATCATTATCATAAGTGTGCAATTAGTCTTTTAATGACTTAAATCAAAGACTGCTAGTAGACAAGGAAACACTTTAGTTGTGGGCAGTTCTCGTAGAGATATTTAGAAAGCAAAAAAAAAAAAAAAAAAAGGATTTTCATGCCAAGACTGTTTGCTTAAAGTCTGAACTGGTGCAAAACCAGTCAGAAAAAAAAAAACATTTTGATGGTCTCATTTAGATTCTAAGCTCATTCTTAAGCCTGATTTATACTTCTGCGTCAAGTGACCGGCGTAACCCACGGCGCAGGCAAAGCGTGTGACTGTGCATTTATACTTCTGCGCGCTGTCTCTGTCGGTCTGCATTAACACTTCCGAAACGCTAGTAGGCAGTGAGGTGTAAATGTTCCTCTGTGTCGAGTTTCTTCTCTGCTTTTTTGCTTTTCCTGAACACTTCCGGGATGTACAAGTGGCTCAAACTCGCTCATTTTGAGGCAGGAACCGGCGGACGTGCAACAACTTTAACTATGAGGTAAACACAAAACAAAACTTTCCATCCGGAGCTCCTTCACGGGACTCCACACTTGTAAACAATCGCTCGCGCCATTCGCGCGGCTCACGCCCAGACTCGTCAGCGCTACCAAGCCGACCAATCACAGAGCTTACGCTACGCGTCGTTGCGACGTGTAGTTACATTTTTTAAGAGGTGCACGTCAGTGACGGCGATGGCCATGGCGAAGGGCTATGCGTCAGCGCCGTAGCATACGCCGGCGTTTGACGCAGAAGTATAAATCAGCCTTTAGGTGTGGGGTTAGGTGAGCCCATTAAAAAGCATTGGATGCAGCCCAAATTGCACTGCACCAGGTCTGCAGCCAGACCCCTCTCAAGCTATTAGCTACTCTACTTAAAATATAGCTTAACTACAAAAAGCTACCCCCTAGGAAATGTAACAAGGTAACCTATAAGCTACCTGACAAAAAGTTACTAATGTATTTTGTGTAGCCCTGCCTATATGGATGCACTTGGGCACATTTTCAGGAAAAACTATAAGTTAATTTAAAACCAACTGAACTAACAAACAACATTTAAAAAATATTCAAACAAGCTATAACAAAAGGACAGCATCACAATTAAAGTTCTTGCATCTTAACATGTACTTCTCAAGGTATGGTTACGCGGAATCCTGCTTCAGAAATAACTCCTCTTTCTCAGTCATCTTTCCTAGTTTCTTTTGTTAGCCTTTCAAGCTAGTTTCTAGTGTTAGCCTAATTGATCAGCGACATCACCCACCAGTGCGAGAGTTGGTAGTAACGCATCAAAAAGTTTGTTGTCGACCACCGTAAAACAGGAAGAAGAAATCGTCATTCTCGCCATCATATGGATTTACTTTCATTGGCTAGACACTGGTCTCACATCTCCGTTAATGTCAGCGCCGTCACTATTGATCTACAATGATTAAATGTAGCTTGTGTGGACGCTACTGCCATGCTACTGAGAAATGTTGTTGCGCTAGTAGCGTCACTACTTGTAGCGACGCTATAGCTTAACTCTGTTAAGCAGACATCATTAATCATTCTAATATTTTCATATGATGCTCAGTTAGGATAAAATTATTACTCAACTTAAGGGAACACGGATAGAGGGCATGTCTTTAAAACAAAGCTGTAGTTTGATGAGGGCATGATTGAGTGCGAAATCATGGGAGTTGCTATCTTTAATACATCTTATGTGACTCTTCCATGTTAATGGATGAGCTAAAGTATTCAAAGCATATTATGTTAGTATGCAGCAGAGTAAAGCTGTAAGCTGTCAAAGCAAAATGACACCCCTGGAACAACTGAGGATGAGAGAAGAGTGTGATGTGATATGCAAGCAGCAGAACTTTTTTTATGCCTCATCATGCCTTCCAGGTCTTCCAGTCATGATCATGTGGACATAAAGCAAAGCTGTTTTATCATACTTACTGCATTTTAAGGTTTTTCTAATGTTGCTCTGTGCAGTTTAAAAAATGTATACCATATTAAGGCATCTTTGTCTCGTTTCTACACATAGTATGATGTGATTAACATGGTGACACGGTCCGTGTTACCAGATAAAAATAGCTAATTTCTAAAAAAACATTTGGGATAAGGTATGGACATAAGTCTGCAAAATATACTGTATAACATGGTTCTAGTGGTTTTTGAATATTTTAATAAAACCATCTTACATATTGTACCTTTAATCTTCAATAAAAGTTCTTATTATTGGTGTGTAGACTATACTGTAGGTCTAAAACTCGATTACTGGAAGGCCGTGGCTCTGAACAGTTTTGCTCCAACCCTATTCAAACACAGCTGATCCAGGTGTTCAAGGCTACTAGAGACTATTAAGCAGGTGTGAGTTGGAGCTGGTTGGAGGTAAACTCTGCAGAGCTGTGGCTCTCCAGGAATTGAGCTTGAAACCATTGGTGTAGACAACTTTATGCACTGCAGCTGGAATGGCATCCACTGCGTAATCATGTTGAATAAGTTGGCAGTTCATTAGATGAGATCTTTTCAAAACATGTCTAAACTGTTTTGATCAATTTAATGTGTCCTTGATGAATAAAAGTATCAAAAAATATGTTTTGTTTTGTTGGAATTTTAATTGAACCACAATTTACTCAAAAAATATAAAGTAGAGCATCATATTTATAATGATAAAAATCTCAAGAGCAGCAAATGGCACTAAAATCTGGAGTAGGAGCTGCTGAGCTTTCAATGACAGAAAAAACTTTTTAATATAAGACAAAAATACTGATCAAAATCCTTTTTTTTGCCCCCCACACATTTGATTCACTATATTAGACCTGGTTTCCTGACATTTTATCCTACCCATCAGATTATGCTATCAACACTGTATTTGAATGGTTCTGGGGTCGGGGTTAGGGATTAGGTTGTTGTAGTAGGATATTACAGCTTCATATTACACTACTCCAGATTAAAATTTACACTAGTAGCAAACTCTGATGCGTAGCATTTTGTGTTATCAAAACATGCTACCTATTTTTTGAATGGGACAAACTGACAAGGTAGGACAAATCAACAGAATAATCAGAATTTCTGTCAGAAAGAATATGTCTACACCTATAGAAGCTAGTCTAACATTTAGGAATTGGTGCTGCACAGACATTTGCACCAAGACTGTAAAAATAGTTTACACTTTTTCATTAACTGAGGTTTGTTTACTGATGAAAGACAATTATTAAAATAACGACCATGCTCCGGTTTCCCCCACAGTCCAAAAACATGCGGTACAGGTGAATTGGGTAGGCTAAATTCGTCATAGTTTATGAGTGTGAATGAGTGTGTATGGACGTTTCCCA